TATAACCATATTTTTTTACATTCTTCAAAGTTTCTATTTCCCCCATCTCTGTCTTTTAAGCAGACAAGCAAGAAATTCTGAGAAAATTGGCTCTTAAATTGATTGGTATCTTAAACAAACAAGCAAAAAAAGAAAGTCTCAATTGCTAAATATGCAGAACCTCACTCATAATGCTCATTCTTATCAGTATAAACATTAGAAAGAAATATGTATGAAAGTATCAGATGCCCTTTTTAAATAAGTACTTCATTCTTTTAATTTATGACTATGGATGATTGCCTTGCCTGTATGTCTATAAACCATATTTGTGCATTACTCTGAGTTGCCAGAAGAAGCGCCAGATCCCCTAGAATAGGAGGTCCTTCTATCCCTACTTCCAAAGGGTAACTTTAGCCAAAACTAAAGACATTGCCATCTTTGGGGGGTGGTGAGGCTCATAGCTATGTCCTTTTCTTAGTTGTATTAAGACCTGAACTATAATAAGGAAAGACTTAAAATTGAGAGACTAGATATCTTCTTAACCAGACTCTGCCACTAACAATATCTTGGACAAGTCTCTTCAGACTTGAGGGGGTCTCAGATTCTCCAGTTGTTATGCAGGTAATTTAGCCAGATGATGAGTGATAACTAAACTACTTGCAATAAAAACACAGGGATGCTCCCTATGAGTTGATTTGACTTCCTTACTTTCAAAGATACTAGTGCTTCCCACGCTGTGTTCAATGGTTTGTTTAGCATTCTATGGTAGGGTTCCTATAGTCAGGTCACTTTAAGAAATGTTGAATTAAAGCCCACACTCTACAGAAAGGACAAAGATGACGAATAAAAGAAATTGCTTCCTCTTACATGGCTTCCTTTAATATACAGTGCCATATTCCAGAAACCCCACATGAGTCATCTCAAATGAGAATGGCCTTTCTGGATGACCATTCACAACTGAAGTAAGTAGAGAATTACATTATCCAGCCTGATTACAGTGACATCATTATACTGACAAGCTTTCTGTTAAGATATCTGCTAATCTACTTTTTCAGCAGATTGTCAATAAGAGTGGAGTAAATGTCATTATACTGCAAAAACATCCATTATAGAAAACTACAGGTTTAATAAGCTGTAAGAAGGAAAACATTCAAGCAGGAAGAAAACCATTTGACATTAGATAATACCAAGGTAATGGCATTTCAATCCCAAAGATTAATTTATCTTAGAAGCTAATGTCCATATCTATTAGAATGAGGGCACTAAGAAATAGTTAATACTTCCTTTAAATAAGAAGGCTTTTATGAGATACATGGAATCAAACATGCAAGGCATATGTTCATAACATAGGACTCTTGACCAGCTGACTTGTATTTGAAATAGTTACACAGGATATTAAAATGTAAATGTAAATGATTGTCTTATCTATTTATCTTCTCTAATCTAACTTAACCCCATAAGACGCATGCACACACACACACACACCTCACAAAGTAATGATAAGACCAAGACCTGAATCCAATATTTATCACCTATTAAAGTTCACCTTTTTATGCCAGAAAAAAAGTAAAGAGGACACTTGTTTGAATAAACAGTGGAATTTTGCTTTTAAACAACAATAAAAACACTAGAAGGGGCTGGAGAGATGGCTCAGAGGTTAAGAGCACTGGCTGCTCTTCCAGAGGTCCTGAGTTCAATTCCCAGCAACCACATGGTGGCTCACAACCATCCGTTATGAGATCTGGTGCCCTCTTCTGGTGTGCATATATACATGGAAGCAGAATGTTGTATACATAATAAATAAAATCTTAAAAAAAAAACACTAGAAGATCTTACCATCTGAACTATTCCATTTTATTAAAATTAGAAATTACAAATTGTTTATTTTTAAATATGTCATTATATATAAGCATCAGAATAGTGGCCACATCCCTGAATTACAAAATGAATAATTATTCATTTTTAAATTTGCTTCCTAAACACTTACTATCATTATTCTCATATATAACTCCCAACATTAATTTTAGTCACTGATAATTAATTTTAAAAAAATTTTAGTCGATGAAAATGTAGGTATTTACTTACTAGTTGAAATATTGTGCTAGCCATTAGCTTGCCTCAAAACCCATAGATCAAAAAAAAAAAAAAGAATTGAAACAGAATACAGATGTGGCAGACAGAATTCTAAAACAGTTCCAGGTGTCCTGCTCAAACCCTAGGTTAGCAAATGTGATGGATTTTACACCCATGAGCAGGCTATTATATGACAAAGTCAATGGTAAGATAGGAAGCTGAGCCAGGAAGGCCTACCATAATTAACACGCTCTTTAAAACAGAAGTTTTTATCTGCTTGGGAGGAGACTCAGAGATCTGAAGCACAAGATGATGTAAGATGGAAATGACCACATGTGAAGAAATGTAGGTGGCCTCCAGATGCCAATGTGGTTGCTGGTTAATCTCAGTCTATAACCACAAGAAATGAATCTGCCAATAAGAATGAGCTTAGAAAACGGATTTTCCTATCACCTTCAGAAAAGAACTCACCCAGTTGACATCTCAATTTTTACTTTGTGCAACTCTAAAAACAAAACCTACATGCATTATGTCTGACTACAGACCTGCAGAGCTGTGAACTAGTAAATAGGTGTCACACACCAAAAGAACTACATGAACCATGTCCACATTGGAAACCATAGGAACTGTAGCATTTATCAAGGTGGCTAGATTGGTCTGGGATAGGTTAGGGACTCCTTTCAAGCCATGCTAGAATTTTCCTAGGAGTCCAAGAGAAACCTTACATTCTCCCAAAAATCTTAGGAGAGAAAACTTTCTAATGCAGCTATGCCAATTATGCAGCAAAGAACTTCCACATTATAGTTTGTGTTAGCTTGTTTTTTGTTTGTTTGTTTGTTTGTTTTTTGTTTTGTTTTCCTAGGTAAGAGGAAATCATCTTACTGTTGCCAGGTTTTGTTTTGTTTTTCCTTCATATTCCCAGACTTGTAGAGACAAACACCTCTGGAAAACACTTCACTTGTTGTTCTTGGCCTTCTTATCTATCACTGAAACATTTGTTAGTTGTCCACCACTCCAAACACTGTTGTATAAATAAAGGACTGCAGTGGCTCAGGAAGTGGAAGTTACTCAGACTACATAGGGGTAGGGGTGAGGCATATTAGTAAAAAGTATTTGGAAAATTTTTCTTCAGCTTTTTGGACACACAGAAAGGTCTACATTTCAGATTAGTAACACTGAAAGAAAGATTCTGCCTCAGAATACCAAAATCCTTATTTCTCTTGCAAAACAGAATGCAAACTCCTGGTCTAATAAGACAGCCACTGCATGAGCTAGCATTTTCAGGTTAGATTGAATAGCTGAAGCCAGATTGCTCAGACAATTCAATTATGCTGTCAGAGACACAAGCAGTTACTTCTCAAATTGTGGCACTGTCTGGAAATGGGACAAAATAGATGCATTTCAAAGGGATGACCAGGCTTCAGAAACAGCCGGTGCCTACTCTGTGCACACTGCTGCCTACCTAGTAATACTCAAAATCAAGAAATGCTTTTAAAGGAGAATCAAGTTCATTCTTAGGCACAGCACCACAACCTTTTTCATTTACATTTTCTTACTTTGCTTTTGAAAAGTGTTTCATGTGTCCTTAAAAAGGAATTATGTTCCGTAGTAGTTATGAGAATGTCTACTACATCTCTGTTCATTGGGGGATTTCTTTTTGTCCTTCTTCAGTTTGGTATCAGAGTAATGTTGACCTTAAAAAGTGAATTTTGAGATTCCTTTCTCTTAAGAAGTTTTTGGAATCACTTAGGATTGCTAATTCTTTAAATGTTTAGTAATTCCCAACAGTGAAGCCATCTGGTCCTAGACTTTTCTTTAACAGGCTATTGTTTATGAATTCAATCTTATTATAGCTTATCAACTTGTTCAGGTTTTCTATTTCTTCATAACTCAGTCCTGATAGGACACATGTCTGGGAATTTATCCATTTCTTCCAGACTATCAACTTTATTGTAATTTCTAACAATCCTTTGTATTTCTACAGTGTCAACTGTGATGTCTCCTTTTTCATTTCTGATTTGACTTATTTGTAGCCACTCTCCTTAGTCTAAGCAAAGACTTACAATTTTTTCCCTTTGAAGGTCCAACTCTTTTTCTTGTTCGTTTTTTTTAGTCTGCATTTCATTTATATCACTCTGCTATTTACTGCTTCTTTCCTTTGGTTGTGTTTATTTTTCTAACTACTTAAGATGTGCTAATTGAAATCTTCACATTTCCTTACAATACAATATAGTAGTATTGACCTCTATAAATTATACTTCATTCTTTATACTGCTTTTTATGAATTGCATAGTTAAGGAAACAATATTTTAATTTCTGTCATCTCTTTTCTTAATCTGTTCAATTTTCATGATTTTTTGTTATTTTTGGTGGTAGTGGACTTCCGGTTTTATAGCACTGTGATTAGAAAAGATACTTGGTATGATTTCTATTTTAAAAACATTTAGACTTGGAACTGGAGAGATGGCTCAGTAGTTAAGAGAATTAACTTCCAGAGAACCTGAGTTTGGTTCCCAGCACCCATGTCAGGTAGTTCACAACTACCTGTAACTACAGCTTCAGAGAATTCAATGCCTCTGACTTCCAAGGATACTTCCACTCACATGAACATACCCTCTTGCCAAGACACACACACACATACATACATACATATATACATACATACTCCTAAAAATAACAAAAATATATATTTTTAAAAATTTAGAAGTTTGTGACCTACCACATGAGCTATACTTTTTTTGCATGTCTATGCATTTGGTGTGCATGCATGTACATAAGCCTGTTCACATGTATGTGGGTGCAAATATGTATGTGTATGCAAATGTGTGAGAAAGATCATGTGTGAATGTACATGTGGAGGCCAGAAGTTGGCATCAGGTTTCTTCCTCAGTTACTCTTCACATTATTTATTGAGGCAGGGTTGGTTTCTTGATGAATACAAAGCTTACCACTTCCAGGTAGTCTGCTTGCCCTGAAGATCCCTGCTCTTCAACTTTTATGCAGGTTCTGGGTTTATGTGAGAACTCCAGTCCTCACACTTGGTTGGCATTTATCTATTAAGCCATCTTTCCAGTCCCCATCCTCTACCTTTGAAGAAAAATGTCAGATTAAAAATAAATATGTATTCTTGGCAGAGATTCTACTTTTTCCCAGTATTTTGAATGTGTCGATTCATTGCCTTGTGCCGATATGGTTCTAATGAGACATAAGCTGTTACTCTCTCTGAGGCTCTCTTGTATATGGTGAATCATTCTTTCTCTTTTCTGCTCTTTAAGTTTGACATTCAACAACCCTTATACAGAGGTCTCCTAAGACCATCAGAAAATACAAATATTTACATTATGATTCATAACAGTATCAAAATTATGTTTCTGAAATACCAATAAAATTAATCTTCTTGTGAGGTCACCACAGCACAAAGGGTCACAGCATTAGGAAGGTTGAGAACCACTGTCCTACATGAACCTTGTGAAGTTTCATGGCTATATAAGTTCATACATTTTATTAAATAGGGAAGTATTATTATGTATTCAAATGTTCTTTTTTCTCTTTTCTTTCTCACAGTGTCTCCTATTGGAACACTTGCTGGTGTCTTACAGGTACTTGAGGCTCCATGTAGTTCCGCTTTTATTTATTTTGACCCCTACTATATAATCTCAACTAACCAATCTTAAGGTCTACTCATTCCTTTGGCTTGCTTAAATTTGTTTCAGTTATTATACTTTTAGACTGCAGATTTTTTACTTTATATATATATATGTATTATAAGTATTTATAATTAATAATCACACAGTTACATATATCATGTATGTGCACAATTATATTCTTTCTATTTTTCCATTGATAGTCTCTACTTAAGGGAAATCATTCTCATATTTTGCTTTATTCATTCAGTTACTAGAACATATTTTAAATAACTGGTTTAAGTCACAAACAGCAGAAGGTGATGATCACAAACCTTAGAGTACATTTAGGAGCAGAAGTTTTGTAACTAGCAGAGTAAATGGAAATCCATGTGCTTTCAATTTTGAGAAAATGTCACTTGGAATCAGATTGCTGAAAATGTTCCTCTGCAGCCCTGGACTGGTCTCAGACACCTGTGTGCTCTTCTGAGCCACCCCCTGACCTGCTGTGGGATTATGAAAACAGTCAACAAGAGTCAGTCCTTTACCACAAAAACACTTAACTGCATCTTTAACCCATTTGTGTGGGTTTAAATCCATTTTTGGTTTCTTTTTCTCTCTTATGGAGAGTTATAGGATGGTAAGTGTGAAAACAAGAAGAAAAGAAAGTATGTGAAAATTGATGATGACTTGGGGTAGAGAAAATGGAAGGACAAATACAGGAATATAAAAGATTTAGTTCATGTTAAACTAGCTGAAATGAGCCAGAATGAGGGTAAAAACTGACCTCTGAATTCTATTATGGCTGAATGGATGGTGATACTGTAAATTAAGATGGAGAAAAGGTGTTACTATCTTAGTTTTCCTTGCTGTTGTAGTGATAAAATACTTGACAAAAGCAACTTAAGGAAGAAAAAGTATATTTAACTCATAATTTCAGGTTACAATCCATTACTGTAGGGAGCTCAAGGCAGCAGGAATTTGAAGCAGCCTGTCATATTACATCCACAGTCGGGAGCGTGATCATGAGAGGTAAGATGGCTTGGCTGGTCAAAGCTCTTGCCACCAAGCCTGATCATCTGAGTTCAATCCCTGGGACTCACGTGGTGGAAGGAAAGAATCAATTCCTACTAGTTGTTCTCTGACCTGCACACACACATATACACACTGTAGTACACGTGTAAATACATTACATAACTAGCAAATGTTTTTAAAATCAGAAAGAAATGACTCAATACAGGCATGCTAGTACTCAGCTTATTGTCTCTATTATATACAATTCAGAAATCTCTGCCTATGGAATTGTGCCATCCACAGTGGGCAGGTATTCTCATATCAATCAATGCCACTGAAACAATTCCTCACTGACACTCTCAGAGACCTTCTCAGGCGACTCTAGATTGTGTCAAGTTGACAACTAAAACCAACCATTACAATTTCTGTCTTCATTTCTTTTCTGTCATTGTAATAAAATATTCTGATGAAGCAACTTAAGGGAGAATGGGTAACCATTCATCGTTGTGGGGCAGTTAAGATGGCAGGAACTTGAAGCAGCTAGTCACATTGCGTTCATAGTCAAGATCTGAGAGCAATGAATTAATGCATGTATACTAGTGTTCAGCTTGCTTTTTCCACTCTTAAACAACCCAGGACCCTCTACCCAGAGAATGTTGCCATACACAGTAAGCAAGTTTTCCCACCTCAATTACCACATTCAAGACAACCTCCACAGGCCAGTTTGAACTAGACGTCCCTCATTGAGACTCCTTCCCGGAAGTCTCCAGATTGTGCTAGATTGACAATTAGAACTTAACATCACAGGTAGGAATGAGCCCAATTTGAAGGAAGGAAAATTTGGGTGACATGTATATAAGAAATGTTAAGTGAAGCCTTTACTTGTGGGAAGAGGACTGGAACAGAAGGAGGATCACAAGATCTAGGCCTGTCAGAGCTACTAAGTAAATTCAAGGCCAGCCTGAGCAACTAGTGAGAATTTCTCTAAGATAAAACAGAAAGGGGCATTAGATATGTAACTCAAAGACCTACTGTCTATCTTGCATGTGCAAGGCCCTGGGCACCATCCCTAGAACTACACCAAAAAGGGATGAAGAGAAAGATAGAGGGAGAAAAAGAAAAAAAAAGAAATATAAGAAGAAAGTGTTGAGTAGATAACAGAAATTCATAAGATAAGCCCTAATGGAGAGAAACAGAAAAAAATAAAATCAAAATGGTAAGAAATCTGTGCCAGTTATAGATTTTACTTGAGAAAAGCCTTCATGAATAAGAAGAAACAGGGCTCAGATCTGAACCCAGAGGAATTTCAAAATTTAGAGATCAGGTAGAGTGACTGACTAGGGAAGGGTATTAAAAGAGAGCCACCAGTAAGAAAGTGAAAAAGAAGGATGGGATGTCTAACAGTGCTGAATGTTGCTGAGAGAACAAGTTTGGTGATGGAAAAATGAGAACCAAATACATCCAAATGGAGGTGATAGCCCTTTAACACCCTGCATTAGTGTTATAGGGGTGAGCAAAGACTGTTATTGCCTTCTAGAAGCAAATAAGTCTACTTACAGAAACAAACCTGGGGCTTTTGAGATGATTCATTGGTTAAGAGCAGTGGATACTCTTCCAAAAGTCTTTAAGTTCAATTCCCAGCACCCACATGGTGCCTCACAACCATCTATAACAGGATCTGATGCCCTCTTCTGGCATGCAGGTATGCATGCAGAACACTCATACATAAAAAATAAATAAACACAATTTTTTTTAAAAAAAGAAACAAACCAACTAAACAGACAGCTGGGTGTTCAAAGCTTGCAAGTTTGTGGCTAACCTGGGTTCCATAGGAAACTCAATGCCAGCCTGGGATAATAGCAAGACCCTGTATCTGAAACAACAAATAATGTACACACATAAAATAATAAGATGATCATGCAAGACTGAGAAATATGTATTAAATTTCATGGCAGGTTCCTCTTAGAATTTTAGAGAAAGGTAAAAAGGTGGTTATTGACAGACATGGTAAAGTAAAGGACTTTTGAAAATGGCTAGTTAGAACAGTTAAGATCATCAGGAAAAAAGAGACAGTGTGGAAAAGAAAGCTGTATCCAGAGTCAATGATAAAAGCAAGCTGATTTCAACAGAAAGTGTTTAGTTATCCCATATCAAAGTACTCTTACTACTTAGTTTCCTTGTTATAGTTGAAGGTCCTAACAGAACAAAGGAAAATTCAGCCCATTACGAAGACCAAATGTTCTTTAATGATTCTCTACCTTCCCAGGAAAGGGAACTAAACACACTCTGACCCACAGGATTCAAAAATAACTCAGATGCCATGGTGTGCTTTGAAACTGTCCAGTTGTCAAAATGGGTCCAGTGACATCAATCATCTTTTCCTATCTCACATTCTCAGCTGCAGCTGCTAAGGCTTAAAATGAAACCATTCCTATATCCAGAGTTTCCTTTGATTAAATCCCACAGGAAATACCAATACCAATATGCCACTGAGTCAGGAGCTTAAGTGAAAGTGTTATTCTCCAGAAGTTGGCTTTCATGTCAAAGAGTCCAGCTATACCATTGCCCCTAAATGTCAGTAGAGCCTGGACAACAGACTAACAGAATACCCAAGCTGGAAAAATATACTTCAAGATCATTTTAGTGTTAACTTACTAATGAAGACACAGAAACCAAAAGAAAGGAAGTGATCAAGGCCAATGAGATCCCAAAAGACAGGAAAGGTCATAAGGATGGCTAACAGACCTTGGAAAGGAAGAATTTTGTCATACTCCTGGTGAGGATGGTCAGAAAAATGGGAAAAGGTTTATAGAGATACTTTCATGTCACCAACACACTTTGGCACCATGATCTTTCAGGAAACTTAAAGAATTACTCCAGGATGGCATATAAGGTAGTCATCAATCTCATTATCAGGGGAGGGCATTTAAGGTAGCCTCTCCACTGTTGCTTAGATGCTTAGTTGGTGTCCTTGTAGATCTCTGGACATTTCCATAGTACCTGATTTCTCTTCAAACCTATACTGGCTCCCTCTCTGATGGTATCTCTTATTTTGCTCTCCTCTATTCTTCCCCCTACACAACCTTCCTGCTCCCTTATGTCCTCCTTGCCCCTCTTTTTCTCCCCTTCTCATTCTCCTATCTCCCTCTCCCCTCCCACCATGCTCCCAATTTGCTCAGGAGATCTTGTCCCTTTCCCCTTCTCTGGGGGACCATGTATGTCTCTTTAGAGTCCTCCTTGTTGCCTAACTTCTCTAGTGGTGTGGATTGTAGGCTGGTAATTTTTTGCTCTATGTGTAAAATCCATATATGAGTGAGTGCATACCATGTTTGTCTTTTTGTGACTGGGTTGCCTGGCTCAGAATGGTTTCTTCTAGTACCATTCATTTGCCTTCGAATTTCAAGATTCAATTTTTTTTTTCTGCTGAGTAGTATTCCATTGTGT